GTAGAGGAAGAGGAGGCCAGGCTGGATGCACTGAGGGAGGAAGAGGAGCAGAAGAGTGGGATGATGAAGGAGAAGATGGAGGCTCTGAGCAGAGATATAGCAACTCTTTCAGACACAATCAGAGCCACAGAGGAGGAGCTGAGAGCTGAAGACAACTCATTTCTGTGCAGCTACAAGGCTGCAGTGGAAAGAGTCCAGCGCTGCCCCCTGGTGGATGATCCACAGCTGACCTCAGGAGCTCTGATAGACCAGGCCAAACACCTGGGCAACCTGACCTTCAACATCTGGAACAACATGAAGGACATGGTCTCCTACACTCTTCTCATTCTGGACCCAAACACTGCTCATCCAGAACTCATCCTGTCTGAAGATGTGACCTGTGTGAGACGAGGAGGAGAGAGGCAGCAGCTTCCCATTAATCCAGAGAGGTTTGATTACTCCTGCTCTGTTCTTGGCTCGGAGGGCTTTAACTCAGGGACTGGCTGGTAAAGTGAAGGTGGGTCCGTTGAAGGTATCAGTGTCAGTGTCAGTGGAGCAGATGAGTTGAGGATGATGATATTTCTAATGTTGTTTCCTGTCAGTGAATTGAAGCTGTTAAACTGCAGCTGTCCTACTGCTGCCTCGTTGTTCCAAAGCTCTTTGTTTCACTGTTTCTTTCTGTTTCTGCTGTCCACCTTTACACATGGAAAATCATTTCACTGCTTCTCACTGAATGACTCCCCAAACTAGATTTGAAATTCTATCAGATCTCTAATCATTACAAGTGATTCAAGTTTCTATTTGATGTGTGTAAATGGAGATGATTTAGTTTGCTGGGATATGGACTGACATGTGTTGAATGGGTGGAGCAGTTTGTTGTTGTCTTCTTGTTTGTTTATGACAACAATAAATATATTTTTGAAATAATGAATCATGTTTAAAAATCAAACTGCTGTAATAAAATGAACTAGTTGTGTCACGGTCCTGTTTCGGTGACCCAGTGTTTTGTATTATTATTCATCTTTGAGTTCATCATGGTTCATCACTGTTGTCGCATTGTACCCTCACCGTGCTGCGTTTTCCCTCCGTGTTTCTAGTTTCCCAGTAACGTTTTTCTCCAGCAATAAAGCTGCTGCATTTAGTTTATCATTCACTCTCTGAGACCTGCATTTGGGTCCCACATCCTGGCTTCGGTCTTCTGGAGTCTGGAAGCTAGGAGCATGGGGGGCCGGGGAAAACAGAAGTTTGCAAGCTGGTGGGCAGTGGAATTGGTTGCAGACAGAGGCACACGGGAGAGGGGGGGGGGGAAGCAAGACTGTGGAGGTCCAGGTGAGTTTGAAGGTGAGAATGGTCCAGAGATCCAGAGGAGGTAGGGGAGGCAGGCAGGTGTGAGTAAAAACGGTGCCAGCATCCTTATGTGCAGAGTATTTTAAATAGCAGAGGAGTAAAGTATCTGTGGAATCAACTGGTTAGCAAACAATCTGGGGAAGGTTAGTTGTGTGTGCTGGTCTTATATGCAGCCAGCTTCATTGGCTCCAGGTGTGGATCCAGGGTGTGGCGGTCGTGTGGTCATGTGGCTCTAGTCTTTAGTTAAGCATGTAGCCTGCCTCTCGTGCCGTGCTTTGGTCTTGCGTGCCACACTCATTAACACTAGAATAAAAAATTAATAAAGTTGGTGTCGGGAGCATGTCGCAAACATGTCTGCCACGAGGGGAGCCATATCGTTGTGAGGCGGCCTACATGGACGAGGTGAAGAACCTGGCATCGTGGTGTCAGGACAACAGCTGAATGTCTGCAAGACCAAGGAGCTGGTGGTGGACTTCAGAAGGAGTAAGCACCAAGTGTACAAGCTTCTTATCATCAACAGAGCTCCAGTGGAGAGGGTGCTGACAATCTGTCAACACATTGCTGTGCTAACATGGCACAAGACACTTTAACATTCCACTTGCACAATGTACATTTTCAGATTTTTAATTTAAAATTTCAATTTTTAAAAAAATTTAATTTACTTATTGTCTTTTTTTGCACAGTCAAAGGAGCAGTTCAGGACACATTTCACTTTGTGTTGTACTCGTATGACTATGCACGTGACATAAAGAATCTAGAATCTTTATGTCATTTTACTTCAA